GAAGGTGGACTAAAGCGTAAGAAGACTGGATACATAAGAAGGTCCCAGGTCATGAAGGACTTTAAACATCAGGGTGTTTACATGTGAAGCTGGAGCTAAGAAGGAGGCACTATAGTTTGAGTAGGGGGGTGATGTGGTTAGACTAGAAAAATTTAGAAAAATCACTACATAAACATGCCATCTAGCCTTTGATTAAAGAACTCCAATGAGGGGGAATCCACTACTTCCCAAGACATCTCATTTCATTTTGGGGCATCTTTAGTTGTTAGAATATGATTTTCTTACATCAAGCTGAAATCTGCTGTAATTTATATCTATTGCACCAGTTTTTTCCTGGCGGTCTAAACAAAGCAAATTTAATCCATCTCTCATGTGAAAGCCCTTCAAACACTAGAAGAGGGTTATTGTGATTCCTGGAAGTCTTCTTGTTTGCATGTTAAACATCTTTTTTGCCTCCGAATAATTTTCAGTACCCTCTCAAGTCACCTTTCTGTGTTCTCTCCCCTCACGGTGGCCAACTCCACCCCAATTAAATATTCTGTTACCTCAAATTAGACTATGAGCTTCTTGAAAGGAGACTGCCTCAATTTGCCACCAGCTTAGCAGAGTGTTTGGCAAAAATAAGCGCTTAGTAATTGCTTTTTCATTCGTTCATTCATTTTTTTCCTCTTTTAAGTCTTAGACATGACATAAAATTCAAAGATGCTTATCATTTCCCTTCCCATGGAAGCAAAAGGAGACTTACACAGACTAATCCAGACAGTCAGAAAGGCCCAACCTCATTCTTAATTTAATTCAATAGCTATTTATTTTTTGTGAGACACTGAGATTACAAAGACAAAAGTTGATTAACAAAGGAATTTTCTATTCAGACTATGCAAGAATCACCCCATTCTGTGGAATTCTGGCAACTGATTTTTTTTTCTTTTCTTTTTTGGAGCAGAATGCTTCACCAGTTCATTGAATATTAGAACTATAACACATCCTGTAGATTATCTTATTCAAATTCTTCATTTTACAGATGAACAAATTGAGGTCTAAGTTTTAAAATGACTTATAGAAGGTCACAAAGTTACTTGACAGATACAGGCTAAACTCCGTCTCCTGAGTCATTATGGACCTTCTTAAGAGAGGGACATTTGGTGAGGATTTTGTCAATGAGGGCAGTTTTCCTGGCTTTGAAGTTAGCAAGTCTTCATTCAAAATCCCAACTCTGATACTCTTATGTGTCTCAGGGAAATCACTTTACCTCTCTTGGCCTCATTTTCTTTATTTGTAAAATAAGAGATTTGGACTTGATAATTTCTGACATACATCATAACTCTAAATCTAAAATCTGGTGACCATCGACTCCAAAATCACCAAATGAAAATGTTTATTTTCACTAAATCTGATTATTAAATCAGTCTCCCTATGGCAGAGGTGTTTTATCTTTATCAGTAAAATGATGTTTTAGGAAAGGTTTTAGAGGTTGACTAAGTATCTAACACAGATTTCTTGTTCCCAACATACATAAAGATTGTAGTGAAGAGATAACAAAACCGTTTTCTGTGGCACCATAAAGGTAGAGAACAGTGGTTTCCTGGGAAAATTTGACAAAGGGCATAGACAATACCCGTCACTTTGAAGTTAAGCTTTTGTGTGGGAGTGTTAGTTTACCTTAATTAAGGAAGCAGCAAATTATTTGAATGTTTTACAAACCAATGGTCAATGAGACCCCTGATGGCAAAATTCACTTGTTCTAAATAGGAGCCAAAGCTCTTTTGACCTTTAAATGTGTTATTGGAGGCTGTGATGGTCATCTGGCTAAGTAGGCTTTGGCTGCATCTGGTCTGCCAGCTGGCTGACACACACATGCTGGGGACAACTTGGAGGCCGCTCTTAGTCTCACCAGATGCCCCGTGGAAGTGTCCATATGATCCCGAAAGCAGTACAAATGATTCCACATTTCAGATAAAATGGTTGTGGGGCATGTGTGTGTGTGTGTGTGTATGTGTTGTAGGCATTGCTCCACGTCCTGATGAATCAGGTATATTCACTTCCAGACCCACTTCTTAAATGAATAACATGTGGCCAGTGGAGATACTTCTCACTATGACTCCAAACATAGTCTGTACAACGCATTTTCGTAAAAGTACCCAAATACACTGTTTCTCTGTGATTTGTCTCAAGAGACATTAGTATGTGTACTTTGGTAAGGAGAGAGAGTAATGTCAAGAAAGAATAATGGATAAATCCATAGATCAATTAGGTTTATCCATTTGAAAAACAACTAAGTACACAAGGTTCATATCAAAGGTCAGAGGTCAGTGTCTAAGCAGAGGAGAGGGAGAATAGTAGCAACTGATTGTTGACACTACCGAACACTGAGGGACCATTAGCAAGAAAATGCATCTGTCTCTGAATTTTAAATGTAATCTAACTTCTGATAGGTTTATTATGGTATTAAAGAAAGTACATGTAAGGTATACTCTCTGCTAGTATTTTTAGAGATGGGATAGGCCTACTTTCAAACTAATTCCTTATCTGCTTTTCGTAACTCAAATCATGAAATCTAGGATTCATGCTAGAGGAGTTTCACAAAAAAAAAAATCAGCTTCTCTGTTATAGTCTTAGTATTTGGGTCTCTCTCAGGAATTACCAAACCCCAAACCTAGCCAGACCTCTGTTGTAAACAAACAGACTTGTTAGGATACAGTTTACTCAGTCAGAAGTAGTGCAGGAGGCAGTACCTTGTGAAAAGGAAAAAGGAAGGACATAATGATGGTGACAAATGTAATGTCATTATTGCTGTTAGGGCAATGACCTGAATTCATCTTGACTTTTTTTTTTGCCTTATTTGTTTTGCCCTTTATGCCTGGTGATAATGCCAACATTGCACTGCCTTTAGGGTGAATGATTCCACTTGGATAATTCACCATGTAGAAACTGAAGATGACAGTTTATTATAGGAGAAATGCGTTTAGACTTAGAAAAATCAAAAGGCAGGCCGTATTTGGAATGACTCAACTTGTCCATAGACTATGATGGACACTTACTAAGAATTCCAAATCAGCAAGTGTCCAGGCATTTCTGGTTCTTCTCTGACATACACAATAGCTACATGAGTCCTGATGTGAATTGTATTCTATGAATAATTTCAAAAGCTTCTTGACATCTGGATCTCAATCTCTTTTTACTCACAGTAACATGACGCACTTACAGCGTTGAATTTGGTATAACATGGATTGATTTGGGGGCATATTAGTGCATGATCACAACAGTAATACGTTTCTCCAGCCCAAACGTGAAGTTTCACTGTTTTCTTGTTAACACCATAGTATTAACTATAAGGAAAAGTATGAAAATGGTGAGGAATCCCAAGAAGCCCAATATCAGCAGGAAAGCTCCATGAAATGGTACCTACTTGCAGATCCTGGATCTTCTCTCCCCTCTCTCTCCATGCCCCCAAAGGGGGCTGATTAAATCAGGGCAAAAGGCAGGCAGGCCTCCATAATATTGGAGAAGATCAAACAGACCCACAGTAGACTTTGAATTAGGGGAGAATGAGTAGAATGGATCATGAGGTGCCATTTGGTTAAGGGTATTACTTCAGGAGATCATCTACTCTAGGAAATACAGTGGGCATAATGGGGGCCAAAAAGAACTGGATGGTTGTATTCTGCATAAACAAGGTGAGGTTACTGTCCAAAAGATGGCACAAATTAGGAGGGAGGAGTCTGGAAACGGATTCCACAAATAGAATTCGTTGTAAACAGGGTTCATGATTTTGGTGGAAGATTGGACTGAATGACCTCTGAAGTTCTTTCCAATTCTAAGATTTTATGATGCAATGATTATTATAACACTGATAAAATCAGGTAGGGCCCTGACTAGCTGGATACTTTTGCACAATTAACTTATCTGAGTTTTCTAGGTTCAATCATTTCCCTATTAACAAGACATTGTAAATTATAGTTTCAAGTTAGTGTGTGCTATAACTTGAGCTGTTCCAAAGAAACTTTGTATCGGTATGATTCGTTTACAATCTGCTGTATTCATTCATGACTGTTTCTTTGCAAGGAAGCAATGGCCACATCAGACCTTCTTCCACAACTGTACCATAGAAAATGATATTTGATGGAATCATGCTATAGAGACAACAGGGTGATTTTAATGTGAAATTACTCAAATCAAGCTTGAATAAACACAAATCTTCATTGTCTTGTAATACAGATGGTAACAAAGTAAAAACAAGAAAATTAATTGTCCACTGTGAATATATAGTTGGACACAGTTGTATCTTGTGAAATGATCCTCCCCACACAAACATACTTCCATTCAACTATGTGCAATTTGTGAAAAAGGACCATCTCATGTCCACAGAGAACCATCACATGATTGTCCTGAGAGATTGAAAGGTTGCCATTATTTATCCCCTGTTTTTTCTTTTAATGTGACTTATGGTTTTGTTTGTTTGTTTGTGAATGTTACCCTCTGTGCTACCTTGCCAGCTGAGTTTGTCTGATTATTCTATTCTAACCTTGTTAGCTCTTTGAGTTAGGCTTTGTATAATCATAATTATTTAGGCTCTGGAATGCACTATGATAATTTTTATCACCTTGATTATGATTAGATACATTTCTGGATCTGTGATTTCCTGAGTGCAGATTTTCAGTCCATGATGCCGATTATAACCCTGTTTTTGTTTGTTTGTTTTGTCACTTGGTACAATTTGATACAATTCTTTCTTGAGGGGAGGGAGGGATGGGTCTGGACTTCTGATTTCATTGATGTTGTTGTGAGAAACTCTTGGAGTGTAATAAACTCAATTTATCTGCTAGGTGGCATAGTAGATAGAATGTCATGGCTAGGGTCCGGAAGATACCTCTTCTTGAGCTCATATCTGGTCTCAGACACTTACTAGCTATGTGACCTTAGACAAGTCACTTAATCCTAATTGCCTCAGTTTCCTCATCTATAAAATGAGCTGGAGGAGGAAACAGCAAATCACTCCAGTATCATTGTCAAGAAAACTCCAAACATGGTCACAAAGAATTGGACATGACTGAAACAACTGAACATTTCTGGAAGCAGATTCGTCAGCCCTTTCCAAAAAGAGAATCCATCAACTATGCACATTGTACATGTTCACCAGCCCATATTACAATAACAACAACAACAATGATGATGACGATGATGATGATGATGATGATGATGATGATGATGATGATGATGGGTGAAAAAATATCACTGCCCTCAAGAAGCTGACAATCTGTATGGTGAGGCAAGACAGGAATATCCATGAAGGTTAAGGAAAAGTACAGGCAGTTATGTAATAAAGAGTGATGTCTTTTTTTTCTACAATCCTCTCATAATCTCTGTCAACAAGGTTATTCAAGAATGCCTTGTTTTTAGTAAACATAAATTAGTTCATGACTGTCAGATTTCCTTTTCTAAGTGGTCATAAACTTTTCGTTAAATAATCCACTCCTGAGCTTTGCCAGGGATCTGGTTGAAGTTCATTGCTCTGCAGTACACAGAATCCACATTGTTCCCCTTTTTGCAAATTAAGATAATATTTGTGAGCTTCTGGTCTTCTTGCACTTAACACTCTCCCAAATTCCCCACAGATATCATAGGTCAGTGATCAAATCTAGATTAATGGGATATAATTCGTATATCTTATGTAATCTCTTCTTTTATTTTCAACTTCAGTTCTCTTTTCACCATATTTGTTTCCCATCTGAAGGTAGATTACAACATTTGCAAAGAGCTTATCTTCTGGAAGAGAAAGGATAGGCACAAATTGAAAAGAAAAATATCAAAGGAAATGGATTAAAAACATGTTATCAAATTAAATCTGTAATTTATAATCTAAAGCAAAGATATTAAAATGTTATTCAATATAATCCATTAATTAGCTATTGTAATATTAGCAATATTAAATTGTGTTCTATACATTCTGATCTGGGAGGGCACAGGTATGGAAGAGATGGGCCACTCGGTTCCTATCCCTGCTTCTCCTACTATTTTCTATTCTACATACATTTGTGCCTGCTTTAAGGTACTCATGCCGAGTTATATTGATTAGTTTGCACACTCCCATCAGGAGAAACATAGTTACAGCTCTTCTTGATCTTAAATGTGATTTGGGTTCCTGTCAATCAATAACATTTATTAAGCACCTACTATGTGCCAGGCACTGTGCTAGATACTAGGAATACACACACACACACACACACACACACACACACACACACACACACACACAAATCAAACAGTCTTTGTCCTCAAGGAGTTCACAGTTCTATTGGAGGAAATAATATGTACACATATGTGTATGCAAATTAGATTTTAAAAAAAGGTAATTTTTTTCAGATAAGACTTCAGCAATAGCAGAGACCAGGAAAAGTGCCCTGTAAAAGTGATAGCTATGCTAAGTTCTGAAGAAGTCAAAGGATATCTAAGAGCTGGAGCTGAGGAGGGCAGAGAGAGGGGAGAGGTCAGTGCAATGGCATGCACATTTAGGAGAATCAGGTCATATGTGAGGACAAGTTTGGCTTTCCTGCAAAATTCTGTATTTTAGGAGACCCAAGGACTTTGAGGACTTCTTTACTTCTCATTATAGAATCACTTCCCATTACATTGCTGAAGACGATTACCAGAAATAGCTATATAGGGGCTATGAAAAAGTGTGTGTGTGTGTGTGTGTGTGTGTGTGTGTGTGTGTGTGTCTGGCCAGAAACCCAAAAATAAAATTATATTAGCCAGGAATCAAAACAAAACATCTTTCCCACTAGAAGTTTAAGAGCTTTTTTGGGTCTGTTTTAATTTAGACTTTTGTGTTTTACTTTGATGCAGTTTGCATCTTTAGGAGACTTTTGTTCAAGATAGTAATAACATGGAACAGATTTCAATAGAAACTGGTGGGATGGAGCTCCAGGGAAGCATATTCAGAACTGCAGACTCTTTGAATCCAATTCCCATTGGTGAGAAGATTCAGATAAGGAAACAATAAGTGCTATAGTGCAAAGCAGATTTGGAATACCTGACTGAAGTCATTTGAGGACTGGTTAAAGAAAAAAAAACTAACTCCAGAATAATTTTCTTCATTTTATATCTTTAATTCTCAAATAACTCTTCTTTAAAGGACTTGAGACTCCTGACTACAAAGATCCTAGAACTTCTAACAAATGGAAGTAGAAGCAATGGGGAAGCAATCTGAGAATGTTGTCAAAGATATATCTGACCTTAGATGGCCATTATCACTTACTCCTTTGGAATTTTTTTTTTGTCTAGGCAGCTTACAACATAGTCCAATGCATAAGACATCCTCAAGGATACACTTAACTCACAGGAATTCAAATATAGAGAAAGCTAACCAGAAATAAGAGTCACTCAGCTCTCCCCCGCTCTTTAGGGAAAGTGTCTGATCTCCTTTCTGATTCCTATTAAGGATCCATAGAAAGCACTTAAATGCTTGTTGACTGGCTGGCTGATATGACTGCAATTTTAGGAATGGGCCAGCCAAACTGATCAGGGGCAGGTAGGTGGTACAGTGATAGAGTGCTGGGCCTCAACTCAGGAAGACATGAGTTTGAATTTGACCTTTGTTATTTATTAACTGTGTGACCCTGCACAAGTCACTTAACCCTGTTTACCTCAGTTTCCTGCTACGTAAAATGATTTGGAGAAGGAAATGGCATACCAGTCCAGGATCTTTGCTAAGAAAATCCCAAATCAACTCACAAAGAGTCAGCAGACATGACTGAAACAACTGAACAACAAGAGACCACTCTGAATTTCTGGTTTTCCCTGCACTTTGATATACCATAGGTAAGGCAGCCTCAGAGTGGGAAGCAGGCTGGTTGGAGCTGTTAGCAACAGTTGCTACCTTTGTGCCCCACAGATCAGTTACTCTATCTCCATGAGATATTCCTCTGAATTTCCAGAATCCTTTCCACCTCTTTCCACACTTTCTATACTTTTAAATTATACCCTGTACCAATTTTTTTTGGTGACTGTTTCATATTTCTCCTACCAGACTTTAGGCTCCATAAAGACAAGTATCATGTTTTATTATTCTTCATTGTGTACCCTGTAGCATCTAACACAGTGCCTTGTACTCAGCAAATTATCATCAATTAGTATTTGTGAATAAATGAAGGAAGGAGGGAAAAAAGTAGGACAATCAGCCTAGAGGAGGCTAGGTGGTACTGGCCCAAGGAACTGGGCCTGGAATTAAGAAGATCTGAGTTCAAATTAGGTCTCATATACTTGTTAGCTGTATGATCTTAGGCAAATCACTTGACCTTTGTTTGTCTTAGTTTCCTCAACTTTAAAATGAGAATAATAATAGCACCTACTTCACAGTATCATTGCGAGGGTCAAACAAGATATTTGTCAAAATACTTAACAAAATGCTTTGAAGGTGCTATGTGAAAGTTAGTTATTTTTTATTATTATTAGATGTTCTAAAATCTTTTGAATGCTGTTGTAAATTGCTCTTAATTGAACCCTAGCAAAATAAAGTTTTGTTGGAAAGGCTATGGAACTTTAGAGATAGTCAGAGTACTTGGGTGAGTTCTGTTTTACAGTTTTTGATACATTCAGACAACACCCAAATAAAAAACTTAGTTATCCTGAAAATAAATGCTATTATTACATTTCCTAGTAACCCATGGAAACCCCAGTAGACTGGTATCTAAACAATAGCTTCATCTTTATTGGCAAGTTAAGTAGAAATTCTAGGAAATTTTATTTTATTTTCAGTCCCCAAGTAGATAATCATGTCTTATCACAGAACAAGTGAGTCAATGTTTCCCTTAGGGATGCTGGTCTATGATGGGATCTCTTTGGTTTAACAAGTACAAAATAGCTCTTGGTGGGTAGCTCTAGGTATTTATGCTAAGGAGAAGCAAGTTGAACCCTCCATTCCCAGCATGAATCTATTTGGAAACTTCTTCCATTTAGAATAAGAGATCTTATTCTACAATAGGCATGAAGTGTTATATTTAAGGTAAAGAGCAATTCACTAAATGAAGAAATCAATCAAATCAATCAACACACAGTTACCATGTGGTAAATGGCAGAAGAATTCTGTAGAGACAAATGCTCCCAAACTCCCTATACCAGAAAGGCATGGGGATAAGTTAAACATAGTTCTTTTCCATCTTCTGATGAGAGTGTTTGCTGTGCCAAGATCTGAAAGTAGGTCTATTCTGTAAAGATTGGAAAAAGTGTCCCAACAGCTCTCTATGAATCTATCAGACATTCAGTTAATTTTTTGAAAAACAAGACCAGGTACAGTATCCCTCTTTCTGTGGCTGCCCTTCTCTTCTCTTCCTGTTACAAGCAGTTCGTGTTGAGAAGAGAGGTAGTAGCCACAGAAAGTGATGTAACGCAGCTTCAGGAACCAGGGAATGCTGTACTGAAGGCTGAGAAGAATGATACCAGCCAAAAATGGCAGTAATATACATTGCTGGATATGGCTTCTGTGGACTTCTGAGAACTGTAAGAGTGAGGGACTTATAACACTTAGTAGCTGTTTATTATTCATTAATTTTTTTGCTATTGTACATTATTTTCATTATTAATTTGATTAATAATTCAATGGTAAGAGTAATAATAACTGTATATAACACGAAACATGCTGTTTCTTTGGAAAGCCAGCACCATTATATAAAGGTCATGTGATAAGGATTCACTGAAACATAACAAGTCTTAGAAGGAAGTGAGGCTTAGGTACTAGGTGGGGGCTCTGAGCTAGTTTCTGATTGGGTAAAGCCATAAATTCAAACACATTTTGAAAACAAATTAGCACTACCCTGAAAAGAGAGTTGGAACTAAAGGACAGAAAAATTATAAAATTATAAACCTGGAGCCTAAAGGGATTTCACAGGCCATTTAGTTCAGACCCTCACTTTAGAGATGAAGAAGCTGAGGCCACAGAAAATTAAGTGATTTGCCCAATGTCATAAAAGTGTTAAGTATCAGAGGTGGAATTTGAACACAGATTCTCTTATTATACTATGTTGTCTTCCATAGGTTACTAACTGTTTTAGGACAGAGGTGTCCAATATGGCCCCCAACTTTCATTGTGCAGTTTAAACTAGCTTAAAATGTAATTGTGAAATACTTAACAAAGTAAAAATATAATGTTAACGTATTTCTAAGTCAATATGTGGCTGCAGGGATCGTGAGTCAGTGGCCCTGTTTCTGTTTCAGTTTGATACCACAGACCTAGAAGCATAGTACAAAGTGTGGCACTTACTCAACACTTCCACCCCGTGGTGTAGGTGAAAACTACTAGCATGGAGGATTCCATCTAGGCCCCAGATCCTCCGAGCTAAATAGAATCATCTACAAAACTACCTGTTAGTTAAGCAGGCAGGAGATGATCTTCTTTGAGTCAATCCATTAGACATTTATTAAGCTCTTTCCGTGTGCAGAGTAATATGCTAGCTGATGAAGACACAAACTTGAAAACCAATACAAATATGACATAATCTTGGCTCTTTAGAAAATCTGAGTGGAGATGGGATAATAATTGTATCCAAATAATTATACCAATTAATATGTGATTAATTGTAGGAAGAGATGAGTGAAGTGTCATGGGAAATTCAATGAGTGAAGACTTTCTAAATGGGGTATCAAAGAAGGTAAGGCAAAAAGGCAGAAAAACAGATGGACATGAAGTTAGTTTAGATAGAGAAACATCAAGGGGAGATCCATTCAAGCCCGTTTGAATAATAATGCTAAAAGGTTTTCATCTCTAATAT